CGAACATTTTTATCCGTCGAAGCTTATCACGTTTGTTTTTTATCCGATATTGCAGAGATGAAGTATTTATTTTCTAATCTAACCCAGATATGACTCTAATAATCAGATCAGCTGCTTTGCGTAACATGGCTGTATCCTTGAATGACCATCGCAGCTGTGATAACAACGTAATTAAGTGATCGAGTTATCTACGATAGCGTTACGAAAACTGTCGCGAAAGCATCGACAGTGAATCTTGAAAAGTTGCCAAGTGATATTTTATTCACAGACGTTATGAAAATTTTACGGTGTTAGACTCCAGAAAGAAATTTTTGTTTGTTTGTTGTATTCTATACAATAAAATAACAAAAGAAAATTATTTGTTAATATATATTTTATAAATTTTTTTTTGTATATATTTATCTTATATATATCTATCTTTAATTAAAATTACATAATATATTAACAATATATTATGATATATTTAATTTCTAATAAACTATGAAATTTAATAATTGTAACTGTAAAGTGTACAACTGTAAAAGTTTTTAAATTGTCTTGAATGTAATTATGAAATTGAATAGCAATATATATGTATATAATATTTATTTTTGTTTCAGTGATATAAGCATTTATAGAAGATATAGCACAATGTTTCGACAAGTTTTTTTTGGTCCATTGATTCAAACAAATGATAAAGAAGAATTAATTATTAAGGAGAGCGTGGCTATATTTGTTGATAATGGCAAAGTATTGAATTATTTAATTTTACATACACATTTGTGTACAGTTTATTTAAAATAAAAAATATAATTTTACCTATGCAATATTTAGATTACTTGGATTTTGGAGAATCCAAAGGATCACGAGAAAGAGTTTCAGATCGAATGGAGAATTTGGGATGGAATTAAAGTTTTATCGCGTGGTCAGTTTATGATGCCTGGATTTATCGATGCCCATACTCATGCAGTACAGTTTCCAAATCTTGGACTGGGTTACAACAAGGGTCTTTTGGATTGGCTGGAAACTTATACCTTTCCGCTGGAGAAAAAGTATAGTGATACAGATTTTGCAGAGCGAGTGTTTGAAGCAGTTGTGGTGTGTAAAACAATTCTAATCAAGATCACACCATAAAATGTATAATTATTTCAGATATTCTTGTATCTTTTCATTATGTCTAATATATATGTCATTGCAGAAACGAACCATCAAAATGGGCACAACAACGGCATGTTATTTTGCATCTTTATATGTCGATGCATGTGCAATTCTTGCAAAAAAAACTGCTGAGTTGGGTCAACGAGCTTTCATCGGAAAAGTGAACATGAACATTCCGCGTGACGATGGATATTGCGAAAGTACCTTGACGTCAGTTGTGGACACCATAGATTTTATAAAGTCTCTTGAGATAATAGGAGTAAATACAAACTTGTATTTTATTGCCAACTCTTCAATTATAGATAGACAATCTTATGTCATAATTAATCACAGAAAAATATTGCATTGCTCCAAACTTGTTGCAGAATCCACTTGTAAAGCCGATCATCACACCAAGATTCGCACTAAGCTGCGATATGGAATTAATGCAAAAGCTGGCAGAGATCGCTAAGACGAAAGATGTACATGTACAGGTATTTTAATTTATTGAACTTGTTTAATATTATGTCAACAATGTACAGCTATTATTATAAATACAAAGTGTTCCTCATTGTCCGTAGAGTCATGTCTCTGAAAATAAGGACGAGATAATGGCAGTGAAACAAGCTTTTCCACACCTGCCTTCGTATACGGCTGTTTATGATGCTGCTGGTCTCCTTACCAATAAGGTATACTTCATTTTCTTTATTTATTAAAAAGTAAATTGAAACAATTGAGAGTCATATATAACGTACATCTGGTTCTTTTTTACAGACAGTATTAGCGCACGGAGTCTATCTTGAAGACAGCGAACTTGCTATTCTTAAAGAACGAGGAACAGCTGTAATTCATTGCCCCTCTTCAAATACAAATTTGAAAAGCGGGCTTTGCGATGTACAAAGATTAAAGGCTAACGGTATCAAAATCGGACTTGGAACAGGTGTTGCAAGAGTCTCTTTGTAGAAGTTTTACAATTTGAATATTTAACTTAAAATCTAAATTTTGAATTTCAATTAATATATATGATATAATATATTCATTATATTAAAAATGAATATGTTTTCTTAGATGTTTCAGGTGCAGCTAGTTACAGTATGCTGAATGAGATGAGATCAGTTTTACAAGTATCAAATTGTTTATCTTTAACGAGAGATAATTATACACCGCTTAGTTACAAAGATGTATTCCATATGGCAACATTAGGAGGTGCTAAAGGTAAAGTTGGTCATTGTATATTAGGAATGTTCTTTATATCTATATACATAAAACTCTTTACAATTGTATTAACATATTGATTGTGTTTAGCACTCGCAATTGATGACAAAGTCGGTAATTTGATGATGGGCAAAGAATTCGATGCTCTCATCGTTGACATGAACGCAGAAGGCAGTTTATTGGATAATTTTAAAGAATATACACTCGAAGAGAATTTACAGAGATTTATATATGCCGGTGATGAACGTAATATAATATCAGTATATGTAAAGGGTAAACAAGTGAAATAAGAAATTTTAATTTTTTTATTTTTACAATATTTTATAAGTTAATAAATAAAAAATTATATATTCTCTATTTATATATTCTCTATATATTTTCGTACATTATTTCTGTATTGTTTATACAGTGTAACAAATTTATAAATCGTTACAATGAATAAATGTCTGAAAAAAAATCTGTGTTTTTTTTACTTCTCTTCCAGAAACATAATTTTTTACTTTGAAATTATATTTTCATTTGCATACTTTGAAATAATAGAATATTTCTTTAAATATTTTTTACCGAATATTAAATATATTTTATTTTGTTTTAAATATTATTTTACGATTATCACTTAGTTAATAATATGATAAATTTTTGTTTTGTATATCTAAATGTCGAACCCGTTACTAGATAAGAACGCGCCATGTTTTAAATATCGGATATTACGTAATGTAGGAGGCGCCATCTCGAAGGCATACTAATTTCTTGTTTCCACCTCGTGTTTCCGGTTCTTCTGTGATTTTCGAGGAAAGGGAAAGAAGTAACGTGAGTATATTTCAGCAAGTCCTCAATTTTTCTATCATTTTTGCATATTTTTTGTTCATCTGTATGAGGCATTAAAATTATGAATATTCTTATATGAATACTTTCATCGCATTTCCTAATATTTCATCAAATGTCGTATATCGGCGAGGTCGGCATCGCCCGTTTAGGGTTACCCAGGCTTGCCATTGCAAATTTGAATATTAAAAATGTGTGCATAGTAATTATCAACTTTTAATAAGATTGAAATCTAGGATATATTATAGATGACATTTCTGATCAAATTTATCATGAATTGATTACAGAATGGCGGACGCTGCTCCAGCCGCACGCGGTGGCTTTCGTGGAGGTTTTGGTTCTCGCGGAGCAGGAGGTGATCGCGGAGGCCTGAGAGGTCGAGGTAGAGGTAGAGGCAGAGGACGCGGCCGTGGTCGTGGCAAGGAGGATAGTAAAGAATGGGTCCCTGTTACCAAGCTGGGTCGTCTAGTCAGAGATGGCAAAATTCAGTCTCTCGAGCACATCTACTTGTTCTCCTTACCCATCAAGGAATACGAAATCATCGATAAATTCCTTGGACCAGATCTAAAGGACGAGGTTCTAAAAATCATGCCAGTACAGAAACAGACACGTGCTGGTCAACGTACGCGTTTTAAGGTAAACTTCCTTTTCTTTCTTTCAAGGTCTAGTTCTATCAATGTAAAATAAATTTTAATCTCGACTTGACTTACTGTTTATTTTTGTCTAATTCTAAGAATTAGAAAAAGATAGAGTAAATTGAACTAATTAGAAAAGTAGCTAGAATATAAAACTTTAGAGAGACAAGAATATTTAAAATGTAACATTTTATAGGCTTTTGTTGCCATCGGAGACAGCAATGGACATATTGGACTGGGAGTAAAATGCTCCAAGGAAGTAGCCACTGCAATTCGCGGTGCTATTATTTTGGCTAAATTGTCCGTTGTACCAGTACGACGTGGTTACTGGGGTAACAAGATCGGCAAGCCGCACACGGTGCCATGCAAGGTAACTGGCAAGTGTGGTTCCGTACAGGTGCGTCTAATACCTGCACCCAGAGGTACTGGTATTGTATCCGCCCCAGTTCCCAAAAAGCTTCTTCAGATGGCTGGTATCGAGGACTGCTATACCTCAGCTAGAGGATCAACCTGCACACTCGGTAACTTTGCCAAGGCCACTTACGCTGCAATCGCCAAGACTTACGCGTATCTGACGCCTGACTTGTGGAAGGAGCAAGCTCTGGCTAAGGCACCTTATCAAGAATTCGCTGACTATCTGTCCAAGACTCACAAAGGAGGCGCGAGAGCAGCCGAAGTTGTCTGAATAAACATCTAGCCTCTGTGAAAGCGCTTTGAAAAATTGTAAAACAATTCTTTTTTTTCTCCTTCCAATCTCTTGCCTCTTAGGAACCTAACACTTCCTATTCTCCTTCATTTCGTTGAGCAAAATAGATAGAAACTAATAGACAATAAGTACTGGAATTACAATCAATTGTGCATGTATCATCACAGAACATGTTGATACATGTACATTATATTAACACTAAAACAATCAATGGTGCCATTATAGCTCTATTAATAGTTTTAATTTTTTGTTATAACATACAATACAGAATATTAAGAATATGAAAATATAATGCAAATAGTATCAAAATAACTTTTCTTACTGAAAACAAAAATAGGAAATTACCAAATTGCTATCTTTGATAATTTTAGCGAAATTTCATCAATTATTTTAGTGTAGCTATTGAGTATATTATATATATATATATATATATATACAGGGTGTCCGAAAAGTGTGGAAACGGTCGAATATCTCGAGAAAGGAATCTAAAAAAGATGACAGTGTTACGTAGTATCCACAGACTCTTCTTTCGTAACTTTATGTTTTTCGTAGGCATTATTAAATGTCTCGATCGTGTGATCGCACATTCTTTCAACATCCTGGAGGCCTCGTTTCAATACTTGGATCACATTTTCACCGGTTGTTTGGATGTTCAAGTGCACCCTCTTCTCTGCAGGATGCGGCACGGTGTGGCCACATATTTTCACGCCAGGACTGCAGGAGAGATTGGAAGAATAAAAGTACAATATTCCACGATGAAACTACATTCATAAATTTTTTAAATAATACGTACTATTCATTTATCACAGAAGCGAGCGCATTACCCAAGGTATGTCCCTCATCGTCGAAGACAAAAGTCCCGTATGTTTCCCCGTGATTCCCCGGTAACTGCGTTCATAATAAACAATTGAATAATTTTGTGTTTAGCTTTCCCACCATCAATTAATATTATTATCATATTACCCTCGAGAGACGTTTCGCCATCGCGATCGTGTCTGTTTATATATGCCGTTTGAACCACGCTTTCAATACCTTAACCTAAGCAGACTAGTGCAAATTGATAACTCGCACGAGTTCGACAACACTAATTCAAATAGGTTATATTCTCGTAAACATAACTGTGATTTCTTCGAAAGTACAGCTCTCGCACGTGCGTATTGTCTGTCTCTCACGAGTGCTTGTAACAGCTGATAATTTTCGCACCCCAGTTTCTTCTGTCATTTGACGCACTTTTATTTTAATCGTCTGATCTAAACTTAACCTAAATTTGTAGCGATCCTGTGATTTCTCGGTACGTTTCGTCATCCCGATGAGTCTAAGACGATGGATCTGCGATGTTATTGTTCAACGGAATGTGCGATTCCAAGGCGCCGTCGTCGGTCGTTTCCTCGCCACGGAGGCGAAGAACGAAGACATTGACATAACTACCGCTGACGAGCAGCCAATATACTCGGACGAACCCCAGTACCAGGAGAAGCTCACCAAGCAGCGAAACAAGTCCCGGCTGAGTCCGCGGGACAGGAATGTACTTATGGGCAAGCCTCCCTACGAGCAGCCTATCGAGTGGTATCACAATACAGTAAGATACAAGAAACGCATGCTAGGTAGATATGGATTCGAAGGCAACGAGGAGCCAGTCGGGTTTGCATGGCCCACACCAGAAGAGGTCAAGATCTTGCAGGAGTATGAGAGAGTCGCCTTTCCAATATCCCTTCAAGAGAGATGGAAGGAGTTGGAGGAGAAAAAACGGATAAAGGCTGAGAAGATTAAAGCAAGGTATGTCTTTATCAGTTTTATCAATGATGTTCAACATAAAAAGAAGCTTTGCAATTGTTGTAAAATTTTTTAATATGGTTAATCTTGCCCTTAGTTCCTTATTGTCTAAATGTATAAATTAATTATATTAAAGAATTTTACAACAGTTGTAAAGATGCTTTCTCTGCTGAATGCAGTTACTATCTGTAAGTTTACAATTTTGGAACAGCATATTAATATATGTGTTTGCAGGGAAGATAAAATAGCCGAAAAATTATCGAAGGTGGACCAATGGATAGTCGAGTTGAACGCAAGAGTCGCTAAGAAGGAAGCCGAAATGGAGGCTGCTAGGTTGCGTAAGGAGCGCATGGTGGAAGAGATCAGGCAACACTTTGGCTTCAGGATCTCGCCTCATGATGAGAGATTTAAGACGATGCTGGAACAAAAAGAGAAGGAGGAAAGAAAGAAGAAAAAGGAAGCTAAGAAGAAGGCAAAGGAGGAAAAATTAAAGAGCATGATCCAAAAAATGAATCAAGAACAAGAAACCGATTCAACGAAACCTGTAGAATAGTTACGTTTTCTTTCGCAAAGTATAAAACGTTCTAATTGTATAGCTAATAAATTTATAATTCATTAGAGTTCTCTTTTAGATGCCTATTTCGAGGTTGAACGTACAGCCAATACGATTAAAGCACGTAACATTTTTCTTTACATTTTATTTAAGCAATCAGCGTTCTCATATCTCAACGCTAGACATCGCGAAGTGAACTTAGCTTTGATCAAAAGATATCCAAATGCCTTTCTCTGCTTTACATTATTAGAAGTTTATCTTTATAGTAGAAACTTTCCAACGGGCACTTTGCGCTTATTCTGGCGAGAGTATAAAATCTCAGGGACAATGTACACATACGTAATAATAAATATCATACTTTTTTTTACTAATACAAAAACATTACACACTGTTTCGCAAAAGACTAGAAGAAATTTTAATGCATAGTTGATAAATAATACTCCTCTTTAAGACACTTAACCAGGCACACATTGGACGATATGTAATTACGTTGTTTATTTTCTGATCTCACTCCGGCCACTCTAAAGTCTTTCGGTGATTATCGCGATTATCAAACCCTCGAACTACGTTGCATTTGAGAGACAAGATTTCCTCGTATTTGTACCGTGCTTGACTCGTTATCCATTCATTAAGCATATCAATTAACTGGTTCAGCTGATTCAATTAAGTTTCTAGTTAATCTAGCAGCCACGTCGAATAAAATTGTCGAACATTCCGCGTCATTGTGAAAAATTTCTCGAGTAAGATCAGCTTTTCATCATCGTACAGTCCTCGTTGATCTGATCGCTATTGACAGGCGATTTTCTCTGCGAGTTTTCCCGTTCCGAGACGTTTTTCTCGGTTTCGGCAACGTCGCGAACCAACTGGTTATCATACGACCGCGCGTTCTGTATCTGAAGTTCGTCAATCACAATAAGATGTACTTTGTTGCCCTCTGTGTGTCAGGCGGATTGCAGCTGCGACGGTGACGTCAATTCATAAAATTGAAAGCTGAGCTCCTCGCCGAAGAGATTTTCCGATCCTATAATCTCGGGATCGACCACATTTAATCCCAGGGTAGTCGGATCCGTGACTAGATATCCCTCGCTTACGAGTCCGCATTCCTCGGCGACGACCTCCTTGGATACCGGATTCAGAAAATCTGCAATAAATTTCACAATTCGTCAAATTTTGTTTTGTCAATGCCGAGTCGATCTCTTCCTGAAAGAAACATTGATTACAATATCCTCACCACTTTCCTTGAAGGAGCATTGGAGCGAATCCGTTTGTTGCTCCGTCGTCTGTTCGTTCTGTTGATCTACCTCGGAATCGTTCACCATGGGAACTAGATACTGCACTTCCACTTGGCGTTTTATTCCGTTGAGTATTTGCTCGGCGGAATGCTCGAGGGTCACGGAATTCAGTATATCGTCCGCATCCTCCTCGGAATTCGGCTGCGTGATGCTCGCCGTCGCAGCCTCCACCTCGTCCATGATTTGGCTGTAATATTAAGACGCATGTTCAGTAATGTGAAGAAAGTTTTACAAAATTTTACGAGGAATAGACGTTTACCTGATGATCTTGTTACTCCGGGATTCTTCAGACTCATTTTGTGCTACTTGTGTTTGTGTAGTATTTGTCAGACTAGTAACTGGCAATGGACGAGGTCTGCAATCGCCACGATTCGCGATCGCCCAAAGGTGACCCGCTCCATGAGTCGCCTTCGATCCTTTCCTGAAGTGCGGATTTATCGAGAGATTGTGCCGGACGGAGTTCTTCCAGCGATCATCATTGCTTTTATAGTAAGGAAAATGCTCACTGAAAACGACAAAAAGCATCTTTTCGATTTTAATTATACAAATTAAATACGATTCATATTTTTATTCAAAATAAAAGTTTTTTTTTAATAAAGTGCTCGCAGGAGCTACTATAATCATTTTACGTAGGCAAATCGACGGGAACATGATTAAGGATAATGCACATAAAAACGCACGGCGGTAATTTGCGTCCCTACGAAACTAATTTCCTTCACCTGCTTGCAGCGATGTCACGGTGCGTTACGCACCCCCTCTTTGCGATTAATTTCACGAGTTTCGGTGGAGAACGAGAAACATTTAAGCCAAGGGTGCATTTGAAATGCTAAATGGTGCATTTACTCGCTCCGCTGATCACGATGATCGCAATGAATGTTGTCACTTACACCAACAGTTTAACGAATCTGTTTCTAAAAGCCGGTTGTTCCATCTTTGAATAAACTATGTAGTAATTTATCTACTGGATAAATGAAAGAGTGAAAAAGCATAAGAGTATAAGAGAATAAGGCAGTGAGCTGAAGTTTACCAAAAGATGAAACAACCCAACCCTAAGTCATATTTGCGTATCGGTGTGATAAAAATAATATTCTTAAAAAACATATCCACACTAACTATGATTTCAAGATGCAATACTATTGTAAAATATTCTTTAATATGATTGATTTTATCCTCAAAACTCTAAATGTATAAATCATGTTATAATCGCGTTAATTATATACTAAAAAAAAATAATGTATCAACAGCATTATCTTAATTGAAAATAATTTTGTTAATTATAATAAATAACACCATTAATGAAACAAATACTTATGCTCTTATTTTAATAAAATTTCATTTATTCAGGGATGACACAGAAAATAAATTTTAAAATTCTCTGACTTTTCCAGGTTTTCCAGTTGAAAATGGAAAACTTTCCAATGTAAAATATGTAAATTTTAACACATTTAAAGAATTGTAGGAAATCTAGCCTATATTATTAAAAACAACGCAAAAAAGGCTTAGTAGCATACTAAAATTTTGGGTGCAAATTCGACTCAATAAAAAATAAATTAATATTGGAAAAAAGAATGCAGTTATGAAAAAGGGTGATCAAATAAAAATACTGAATAAAATATAAATTTTAATTATTTTATTAAAATTGTTTAAAGTGTGCAAGAGTTTGAACGTATTTCACTATAAACGTCTCTCTCTCTCAGATATAATATTAGAAAATAATTATTATCTGGAATAGGAGTAATTTAAGGAAATTGTGAGCAAATTTAAAAATTCCAGACTTTTTTACATTTTCCCCTGACATTTCCCGGTTTTCCATGACCAATTTCAATTTCCCTGACTTTTCCCGGTTTTCCAGATTCTGTGGCAAATCCTGTTTATTTCATTAATACTGTTGTTAAATCAATAAGATTATTTTTAATTAAAATAATGCTGTTAAAATATTTTTTTTTTAGTGTATTAAACAATTTTATAATAGTTGCAAAGTTGCTTTTTCAGCCATTGATAATTTTGGATAAGGCCAAAAAAAAACGTGAAAATAAGATTGATTTTTAATATTGTACATGTATATTTATAGACTCTATTTGTGCATATTTATAGTCTGCCTCTTTGCAGAGTAACCGGAGATATTTCTTTTGACTCGTTTGTTTGAGCGGCGCTCTACGCGGCTGAACCTGAATGATCTATATATATATATATATATATATATATTTTCCAAGGAGCTCGAACAGCGATCGAACAGGTGAAGGCACAGGAGCAGTAAATTGTGCGCATTCGTGTTGAGGGCTGCAACGAAGGATAGTTGAAGGGTGAGGAGTTAGTGCCAGGTGGTGCCAAGCAATGGGGGCAGTGGTACCAATGGGTACCATCTAGAAGTAGCCCACCCCCGTCGACCCACCCCCAACCAGCGGGCTACGTTCGTATAAATTCG